TGTAGGGAGATTCTTTTACCTAGTAATAAAATTATCAAGTACAAAAGGGTAAAAATATTGCTTTATTTGAGAAACTTACTTCCAAATTACTCTTATGTGTTTTAAAAAGTCATAAAGAGCATCCAAGAAGAAGACATACACAGTTTCCATAGGAATAAGGACAAAAAAATGGGGTTGATGATTGCCCCAAATGAAATTTCCTAAAGGAAAAAAATGTAATATTTAACCTTTTTTTGAGGCAGGGTATGTGAACTACACACATCATAAATAAAATTTTCTTACTTTACAAGGAGGAGGGACTGTGATCCTGTTTTTGATGCATATTAAATACAAAATACAAAATCCACTGTTCTCATCAAGATGAGGGGAAAAAAAATCATTCTTCAATATTTCAATTCTCATGCAATGAAATCCAAAGGTCTGTTGAATCCACCTTTTCGATTCATGTACTGCCTATGAAGAGAAAATTTATTGTCATTAAAAAAAATTCTGGATTCGTCTTATAAAAGAAGTAATCACTTGCTTCAGAAATTAAACCTATAAACCATTTTTAAAATGGCAAAGTCTAGGGCAAGAAGTGTTCAAAGTCAAAATCCAAATAGAGGTACAGAAATATACTTTCAATATTATTTGGGAAGATTCTACAGACTTTAAAAAAATCAACTGAAAATCCATATATTTTAGGTAACCCTAAACACCTAGCTAGTTTAAGGAAATAGAGAAGAGTTTCAAAATACACACCCATCAAGCAAATCTGATTTCACACTGTACTAGCTCTCCCCATAAGACCTTAATTGAAGGTAATTTTACAATGGACTGTTGATGATTCTGGTACTTTAACTCACAGCAGTCTCAAATCACATTATTCATATTCTAAATTAATTGGAATTATCAGTCTTTTATCAGTGATAAATGTAGATAGAAAGGCAATGTTTTAAGATGTCTTGACTTTTCCATTCATTCAGTGAGATTTCAAGTATGGATTGGTTTGTTCTGTGGTATTAATAAAATATACCTATATTTAACAGAAGGATATTTACAGTTGAAATCCTTATACAATCAAGTTAGGTAAATAACTCAAGAGGAATCTATTTTAAAACCTATAATTATAATGAAATTAAAGCCTAAAAACTTAAGACTATGTTATTTTGAAGAAAGAACTACTTAGAGCCCTAAAATATTTAAGCCAACTACCCTTCTTTATAATAGTTACTAGTTCACATGTAAATGGGAAACTATTTTAACATACAAGAATATAAACAAGGAAGATTAAAACAAGGGACAATATGGAAACTATTAAAGTAAGGGACTGTTTGGAAAACTGCTACATTTCCTACAAACATCATTATCCCATAAAAAATTCTTTCCCAAGCATATAATTTACATTAGTTCAAACATAATAATGGCAGCTATGCATACCTATACTTCCTCTTCTGAGACACATTTATGGCATAGGCATTTACAGAGCCATCCACCTTTTTCCCCTGGAGAAAAGCAAGAAACAAAAAACAACACACACACACAAACAAACGAGCAAACAACACACCAGAGAAAGAACATATTATATGCCTTGATCATAGAGCTGCATCCCACAGACCCTCTTAAATGGCAAGATTCATTTAAGCATGAGGTAGTCCAATGAGTGAAAGAATTTTCAGATCCTGATGATATCCCATGATCTCCCAAGCGTTATAACTCTCTGTTCACATTTTTTATAGTCACACATAATCAAATAAACCAATATTCAAACCAACAAACACTCATGGTATATGTATTATGTGCAAGACATACAGGGAAATTGGGTAGCAGAGCGTCACCTTTTCTGGTCAAAGAATTCTTCAAAACCAAATACAAGTTATGGATATTTTCTCTAGAAAAATCCATTCACAAAAATTTAACTTATGACCTTAACTGATGGCATTCTCAAATCAGTCACCATTCCTATCTAAATCCCATTTCTTACATAGGCCTTGAAGTTTTGATTTTTAAATCAAGAATCAGAATAACAGATGCTAATGTTGTATCACCTGTATCTCGGACTTTTTTTTTTCTTCAGTAATTCCTTTATGGGTCTTTTGATTCAACCTATTTCCCTTGCTGTTCCTCATGCCTGAATTGCCTTCCCAACTCCCATCCAATCTTCAGCCATCTGGTTCTTATGCATCCTTCAAGGCCCAATTCAAATGATCCAGTTGCCAGGAAGCACCCTCTTCTCTAACTCCCATAGAATGTTAACTGTGCTTTCCTCACAATACCCTGCATTTTCTACTCTGCATGAACATGATGTATAACATCATATACATGTTATTTCCCATCAGACTGCAAGCTCATATGGAGCTTGACGGAGGGATATGGCTGTGAGTGACCTTTGCAACTGTCACATCCTAGGCTACTGCACTTGCAGGTACTCAGAAAATGACTGTAAAATGTATGAACACTGCCAGTTAATGCCACCATGAGTGCATGTGCAGGAACACACACATAACCTCCCTCCCCTATTATTACTCGTGGGCGTGTACCCTGTTTAGCATACTTATTAGATAGCTGTGTTAGGCCAAAAAAAAGGATTCTTATCCGCTGGCATGCACAGGTGAGGTATATATTTGAGGGTGAGCTAAAACAAGTATATTTGGTCTTCCTTTTCTATTCCTGTTTTCACTGCATTTTGGGGGCCGGGGGAATACTGAGTAAATTACTTAAGGTGTATTATTTTAACCTCCCAAGAACAGGAGGTAGGCATGACTTGGAAAAAAAAAAGTAAATGATGTTAACCTTTTTACTAAGTTCAATTACTAAAGGCTTTCTGATTTTTGAAAACTATTTGCAGAGTTGTATATTATTAGCTCTCTTCTCATTTACATGCTGGAATAGAAAATTAATAAGCATAACCAAACTTTGAAACTTTCTAGAATGCTAAAATGGAAGGGAAAATAAGTGACTACATTGGCATATGAAGAGGTTCCACCATAGATTAATGATGAAATATCACAAGATACACATTACTGAAAAATACAAATGAGCTGAGAGACTTTGTAACTGATAGTCATGAAGCCAACTGCATACGAATTAAGTTAACATCCTTGTAGATGTCATTAAAAAAACAACTGACATCATTTGTTCTTGTGGTACTCCATAATTTTTATGGGATCTATAAATTCTCACTTAATTTCTCCTTTATACACAAACATTTAAAAGACTACATTTAAAAGTAGTGGCTCCATCTTTACATCTGATTCTCAGGAATTTCAAACATAATATCCGGCAACAGTAAAACCAAAAGAGAAAAGAATTCTAATAGTGAAGGTCCTTCACTATTCTAAAAACAATAAAATTTAGTTGTCTCATTTTGGAGATATTTTTATTCACCCAACATATGTATTAATAAATACATATTTATTATGTATTTATTGAATAAAATAATGTTCTTTTGAATAACAAATAAGGATTTGGTATATTCAAGAAAAAAACCTGAGACATAAACTGCATTAAATTCTAAAACGGGGTCAACATAACCATTTATGAGAACAAGAGCGCATTCTTAATTTTCTCACCTCGTAACAGTCATGCCTCTGGTACTCCTCATAGGTCATACACTGTCGTTTAAAAAAAATACATGGGAGCCCCACATAATCACATCAGTTAGAAAGAAACTCTTATAGCACCTGAGATTACCCCACTCCATTCACAACTCAATGGAACACAAGATTAGGGGAAGTGGATTATTTTTGACAACTCTCCTCAAAAATTCCAACTTCAATTTGCAAAATTAAAAGGACTTAAAATTCTATAAAAGAAAGTTTTTAAAATATATTTTCTCTCTCTCCACACATACTCTCCCTGCCTATCCTTACTAGCTTCCTCTCTCTATCCTCCCTTCTCTCTTCATTCAATTTCCTCTCTCCCTCCATTTCCCCTTTGCCGTACTTCCCTATCTCCCTATCTCTCTCCCACCTCCCTCTCTTCATCTCCCACTCCACAATCCCTCCTGCTTTTGCCTCCCCTACTTCCTTATTATCTCCAGGATTATGGTCAGGGCTAGAGAGCATTCAAACTCCTGTCAACCCCTCTTCTGAGCTATGAGATATGCATGCAACTACGCGATGCCATCTTTATCTGGCAGCTGTGCTTCGTTCTGTTTCACAGCATTTCCCCTTCCTATAATCCTTTCTTTGGTTAACCCTATCAGCCTGACACTTCACAGTCATCACTGACTACTCACCTCCATCCCACCACCACTAACTCTGGTTCCTGAATGGTTCTCCATATTCCAGCCCCTCTTCTCAGTTCAGGCCTTCATCATCTTTCACTGCACGACGGCAGTTCTCTCAGCCTCCCATTTGTCCTCCATGAAGCCCCAGATCATCATTCTAAAACACACATATAATCTGTTACTCCCTTGCTTAAAAACCACTGCTTCCTCTCATCACCTAAAGAATCAACTCTAAGTTCCTCAGCATGGCTAAGGATATCACAAGCCTTCTGCGGTTTGCCTCCCACCTCTATTTCTAGCCTCATTCGTAGCCACCAGCCCACCAACGTGCTTTCACTAGTCACTGAATTTGAAATTCCCACAATACTCTATGCTCTTTAATGCCTACATGGCATTGTCATGAGCTTTTCCCCCTGCTTCAAATGATCGTCCTCCTCTTCTTTGTCTGATCACCTCTACTGGCCCTTTAAGATCTAACTCAAATATCCCAGGCAAATACTCCCTGAATTCCAATGGCAGCTCACCACTTCCTTCTCTTTGCTTTCAAATCCCTTCACACAGATAGTTACTGTCTTCTAACAAAAAACTTGTATCAATGGAAGAAATTACAAGTGATAGTAAAAGAATATGGAATAATGGGACAGATCAGTTCAAATAAGAATACTTAACTGGCTACATGTTTTACTTACTTTTGTGGAGTCAAAGGAGGCAAATCCCATTAACTTCATCATTTCTATTTCTTCCTCTGTTTTGCCCTCCAAGTCTTCCTCTACAAAAATAAGTGACAAAATTTTAAACTCTATCATTCTATACGTATAAAAAGAGAGGTGGCTTACCAGCAGAGAATACACTAAACAATTAGCTAAAGACTTGAGTTTAATGATAGAAACTCCTCAATTTGGATAGCATATAACTTAAGGGGCAAGGAAGGATTGCGCTCTCCATCCTCCATCATAAGAGACTGCTTAAAAGGACATGCTTGGGGGCTTCCCTGGTGGCACAGGGGATAGGAATCTGCCTGCCAATGCAGGGGACACAGGTTCGATCCCTGGTCCGGGAGGATCCCACATGCCGCGGAGCAACTAAGCCCGTGCACCACAACTGCTGAGCCAGCACTCTAGAGCCCGCGAGCCACTACTACTGAAGCCCACGTGCCTGGAGCCCGTGCTCCGCAACAAGAGAGGCCACCACAATGAGAAGCCCACGCACTGCAATGAAGGGTGGCCCCCACTCGGCAACGAAGACTCAACATAGCCAAAAATAAATAAATAAGTATTTTAAAAAGGACATGCTTGGAGGCTTTAGGAAGGACCACCTTTAATATCAGACAGAACACTAGTTTTGACGATACTTCCAAAATATAATATTCTCATGTTTTTAACTGTCCTTGTATCTAGAGCATCAGATAACCAGCAACTAAGGTACAATTAAAACAACATCTCAAAACTACATGCAGTGAACACTATAAAAAACTTAATAGTTAAATGTTCAAAAATTATACTTTTATAATTTTATCATAACTGAAGTTATCTAAACATGGCTGTACTTTTCCTACAGTTATTTATCTAATAACATTACCAGTTATCTGACGTTCTTTGCTCTTTGTTTCTTTTGTTTCTTTCTTCTCCTCATCTCTTCTTTCTTTTAGTCGAGAAGGGGAAGGAGATGTGGATCTATGTCGTCTCGGGGATCTAAAATTTAATAAGTAAAAATGTCAGAAACAGAGACATACCTGGCGACTTGTGCTGATGAGCACAGATATACATGAGTCCCTGCAAGGTAAAGGCTGAACAAAAGCCAGGCTCTAGAGCACCAGGAATTTGTTCCCCAAAGCAGAATGAGGAAGAAGTTTCTGCCTAAGCCCTGACTGTTAGCAAAAAATTATTTATTGTTTAATCATCAGTTACACTCAGTATAGCTAGGGCAAAGAAATTTTCTGTAAGGCAGAAAAAAGCAACGAAACAAACAAATGTGTCTGATGCTTATTAAGAATCAGAGACCAAGGACTTCCCTGGCGGCGCAGTGGTTAAGAATCCGCCTGCCAATGCAGGGGACACGGGATCGATCCCTGGGCCAGGAAGATCCCACATGCCACGGAGCAACTAAGCCCGTGCGCCACAACTACTGAGCCTGTGCTCTAGAGTCCGTGAGCCACAACTACTGACACCTGCGTGCCTAGAGCCGGTGCTCCGCAACAAGAGAAGCCATCACAATAAGAAGCCTGCATGCAGCAATGAAGACCAAATGCGGCCAAAAATAAATATATAAATTTATTAAAAAAGAAAAAAAAATCAGAGTCCACTTCTAAGATTCTTCCAAGATCTCACATTCTGTTTTTGTTTGTTTGTTTGTTTGTTTTTTGCGGTATGCGGGCCTCTCACTGTTGTGGTGCACAGGCTCTGGAAGCGCAGACTCAGCGGCCATGGCCCACGGGCCCAGCCGCTCCGCGGCATGTGGGATCTTCCCAGACCGGGGCATGAACCCGTGTATCCTGCATCGGCAGGCGGACTCTCAACCACTGCGCCACCAGGGAAGTCCTCACATTCTTGATTATATACTTGAATAAATTATTATCACCAAAAGTAAATTAAAAAACAAGACAAAAATACAAAACACTTATTTCTTACTCTTGCTAAGTGCTTTTCATGTATTATTTCTCATTTACTCCTCACGGCAACTCTACTATGTGGAATGTTATCAACCCCATTTTATCAATGGGAATGTTAGGTTTAGAATAAAGTGGGATAAAGTTCCCCTCATTTCATGAAATTATAAGTGCCTTTGTAAGTGATAACAACAGAGTCAAGCGCAGCGACTACAAAGCTGTGGTAAAACTTCTGGTTATTTTCTGCACTTACCTGGAACGTCTTCTGTGCGGGGATCGAGAGCGGCTTCTTCTCCGATCTCGCTCTCGGGACCGGGACCTTTCTCGGCGCCTGCGTTCTCTCTCTCGGGAGGTGGACCGGGACCGCCTACGCTCTAATATAAACACAAAATTGTAGAGCCGAAAATTACCTCCAACATCTACTGGATGCTGCGCCGACCAACAGTAATATAATGCGCGCCATTTCTAGATGTCACATTAAAAAAGTAAAAAAGACGCATGAAATTAATTTTAACAGTATAGATTTAACCCAATATATCCAAACTATTAGCATTTCAACGTGTGCTCATTATAAAAAAATGGACACTTTATTCTTTCTTTTTTCCGCATTAAATCAAGGAAATCCGGTGTGCATTCCACACTTAAACAGCAGCTCTCAATTCCGATTGAGAACATGTTAAGTGCTCAATAGCCCTTTGTGGCTCGAGGGCTCATTTAACTTTTAAGATCAACCCTGATTAGCTAGGTGATAAAAACTAACGAGGGGGCAGAATCGAGGGACTACTTGACATCTCCCGATCCAAGTCCTGGCTTCTCTACCTCTCACTGCCCACTTCATGGGCCAGAAGACATTACGAGGTGAGCTTACGAGGTGAACTCCCTGCACGCAAACTCCTAACCATCAATTTCCCTACTATAAACTGGGAAGGAAACCTTGAGCATTTAAGAACCTGGCGGTATCACATGCTGAGTGTTACGCAGTGTGGCATCAATTCTCACTTCAGTTTTTAAAGGTAAGCAATATTACCCCCAATGTCTATGGGAACTCGGACGCAGGAAGGCTGAATGACTTGCAATCGGTCACCCAGAAATTAGGGGAACCGTGGCCTGACTCTACATTCCCCAGCCACAAGTACAACAAAAGTTACTGTATGAGGGTGACAAAGGGTCGGCGAAACCCCAACTTAGGAAAAAAACTGCCTTCAAATCCGAGGGCTGAAGCGTGTAGGGCCCAGGTCTTCGTTCCCCATCCACCACCTCTCTTCTAATCCTGAGAAAAGGTCCCCCCTCTCCGCGGCTCTTGGACTGGGAACAAAAGGGAGGACGGGTCTTCGACCGAGCCCCAGACCCTCAGAATTGCTTCTAGACTCACCCCTCCGCGGGGACCGGCTGCGGCTGCGACCCATTCGGAGTCCTCCCCAACCTCACGCCGCCCCGGAAACGACTGTGCAACAACTTCCGGGAGGGCGGGGAACTGAGCTTTCCCTGCATCCTGGGAAGCGTCGAAAAGAGTCGCCAGCGTTCCGGCTTCTAAGGCAGGCGGCCGGTGATGCGCTTGCGCAGGATCACGGGGTCCCGGCCCGATGCCGCCTCTTCCGAGCCCGGAGTTTTTGTTGAGAGCGGAGTTATCCTGTCTGCTCTTTGAACCCCCGTTTCGAGGTGGCTTCCCTATCTTCTTTGTCCACGGTGGGCGTTAAAATGTGTTGCCTGATGTTATTATAGAAATGTCTGGAAAAAGCCATATATAAACCACCCTAACACAGTTCTCATTCCTCCCCACCCCCCATTTTTCTTTCCGACTGTCTTGTCCACATGCATAAAATATTTCATACCAAACCAATTGTAAACATAGCATACGCAAATAGTTTTAAGTCCACCCGGGGAAGAACTAGGGTGGGTCAGGAGGCAGAGGGGGAAAGGGGAAAGAAAGTATGGTTGAGAGCTTTTATTGAGTTTTGTGGGAGGGAATAGCAGAGGCTGGGAAGCAGGCTAAGTAGGTTTAAGACTGACTAGTTTGAATAATTAGAGCGGGCCTTGGGATTTAGGGGCTGTCCAGAGCTGTTGTTACCTGGCCCTGGGGTCATTATAGCAGAGGAAAAATGCCTTGGCTTGTGGGCTTGATAAAGGAGGTGGTTGGAGAGTATGGGCTTTCCCCTGGCTGGTTTGCGTATGAAAGGCACACTCAGAAGGGGAGTCTTTTGCTATCTCTAGAAATTAGTTAGCCCTAGGAAGGGCAGTCTCAGCAAGGCCCCAGATGTCAAAACAGCAGAAAATGAAAGAAGTAAAGGCATGATTAATACAATTATTCACACAAGTGTTAATTGCACACCTATGTGCCAGAGGATTTAATCAATGAAAAAAACAACTCTGCTCTTGAGTAGCTTGCAGTCCAGTGAGGGATACAGTGTCAAGATGCATTGAGAGGGGCAGAACAAGATATTATGAATGCACATAAAGTGGGTACCTAACTGGTTTGAGGGGAAAGCTTCTCAAGAAAAGTTTCCAGGAGGAAATGATGTCCAAACGAGACCTTAGGGATGAGTAGAAATTAGCCAGGTCAAATGGGGTGATTTTTGTGGTGTGGACAGGTGGAAGAGATTGGGCAGAGGAGACTGCATATGCCAGGGAAAGAGGCAAGGGAGCAGACAGGCTAAAAGTAGAGAACTAAAGAAGTATGGCAGCCACCTAGGCAGCAAGGAGTGAAATATAAACACAAGACTAGAAACCTTGTAAGCTATGGTAGAGTTATCCTGAGGCAAAAGCAATAGCCTTTGAAGGGCTTTGAGGACGGGAGGGAATCACATTTGTGTTTATTCAGAGAACACTTTGGGTAACTGGAGACTTGACTACAGGAGAACACCTAGGGAGGATGGAACAATAATCTAGATCGGAAACTCCAGTGGCCTGTACTAGAGTATTATCAGTAGGTAAGGTGAAAAGTGGCTGAATTTGAGAAGTAATTGATACAACTGGAAAAACTTGATTTTTGGAGGCAGAGAATGATAGAATTTTAGATTCAACAATGACATCCAGGTTTCTGGTTTGTGCAACTGGGTAGATGGTAGCATCATTTGCTAAGGCACATAATGTTCAGATCTTGGACATACTAATCTGAGGTGCCATTCTGAACATCCAAAAGGAGATGCCAACTAGATGTGTTCTCTGGAGCTTGGAAGAGAGATCTAGGCTGATTTTTTGATTCCAAAAAAAGGAATCGTCAGAACATAGATGTTCATTTGAAGCCATGAGAGTGCATGAAACCACCCCGGGGAGGCTGAGAGAAAAGGGCCTGGAGACAGCTAGAGGAAGAACCCCAAAATGAGACTAAGGGGGAGCCAGAGAGAGAGAAGGAAAACCCATTGAGTGTGAGGTCAGAGAAGTTTTAAGAGAAGGCTGCTGTTTTTAAGGAGAACAAAGCGGTTAATTTTAAATGTTAAAAGGAATGAAAAAAAAAGCCACATCTAACCTAAAGGATTTAGCAACAAAGTCTTTGCTGACTCAGTTTTAGTGGACTTGGGTTGTGAATGGCTTTTGCAGTGGAGAGAGAACTTGTATAACCTTTTGGGTTTTTTTTGGCTGCACCACACTTGTGGGACCTTAGCTCTGCCACCAGGGATCGAATCCAGGTCCATGGCAGTGAAAGGCAGTGACAGCGGAGTCTTAACCACTGGACCACCAGGGAATTCCCTGCATAACCCTCTTGAGAAGTTTGGCTTATGCAGGGCAAAATATGGCAGTGGGTGGAGGTAAATGTAGGTTTTTCAAAGATGGGAGAAACTTAAGCATGTTTAAAATATTGGTGTGAGTATAGAGGGAAAAAAAGCAAAGTACAGAAGAGAAAGAAAAATACCAAAGGAGTAAGTTTCCTAAAGGGACAGCCCTGAGATTAACCACAGGCAGGAAAAGAAGTGGTATGTCTCTAAGTGGCTCCTCCCCCTTTAAGATGTGGGATAGAAACTGTATTCTGCTAGGGCTTCCTTATTTACTGATCAAGTTGCCCGCTCTCAGAATGCAGATTATCCAGCACTGTATCTGGAAGAAAAATCCTGTTTTCAATACCAGAGTTTCTCTCATTCTAATGGCCATTTTAATGGGTTTTGAGTGGAGTAGGGCTGGGGTACTGTCAACACTTGTAGTCACACTTGCTTATAACTTCCCTCCCCAACCAGACAGCAATTTTTCAGTAAAGGCAAGCTGTAAAGTATGTATGTACTTTACATAAGAATCAACATTAACCATCTGTGATTCTGGCAAATGTACTATTTTTAGCCTTGGTTAAACTTTGTTTTACCTCTTCTAGTCCTATTTTATGTAAAATCACCAGCCTTTACAAAAGTATCCTACTTGATCATTACAAATGGATGCATGTTGTTGAGTCAGTAATTGCCCCCCCTAATTTAGATGCAGTCTGACCACTAGTTAACAGTGATTGATGATGTTTGAGGTTTGTTTGCTTTTGTATCCCTGTACCGTGGACTTTGGAAAGAACTGCAAACTCTGTGGTTGGGATGAAACTGTACAATGACTTTTGTTTTTTAATGTAGTCAAGTGATTTAGGTACACATTCCTTGAAATTATGATTCAACACATCGTTCTAGGTGATTGACAAGTTATCTACCATTTGCACCCCTGGCTCTATTATCCTTTCTATCTTTACATGGGTTCATCTTTAAGTGAATACAACTCCTGACATAGTTTCAGCGTTAACAGTCCAATATTCTAGATCACCTTTGTTGGACAGAACTTTCTGCAATGATGGAAATATTCTATATCTGCACTGTCCAATACAGTAGACACTAGTTACATGTGGTTAACTAAGCACTTACAATGGGTCTAGTGTGATTGAGGAAGTAAATTTTAATAAATTTTATTTAATTTTAATTAACTTAAATTTAGATAGCCAAAGTGACTCTTGGTAACCCTAATTTTGCATTTGATGTTGAAATCTGCTCATTAATGATGGCAAATGGATCCTATTTAAAGACTTGAAATGCGATAAAATGTTGGCTGCTAAACACTTGGTTAAAAAGCTAATGACTACAACATTCATTTAATTTTGCCTACCTTGCTAAGTTTCAAGCCAAATTTATTTAAGAAAAAAAAAAGGAAAGGTACACTCATATCTCTCTTTAATAATTAGCATGGAACTCTAGAACATTTTCTCTTAAGGACCTCTTCTTTACTGATAGCCAAGTAAAAATAATTATTAGTGGGTAAATATTGTTTTCTAGCCCCTGCAGCTTAAAAAAAGACTTGGCAAAGGTTATAAGGCAAAAGCTGACAAACACCTTCGTATATAATAGTTTATATGATACTTCAGCTGACACTTTTAATACTTTATTGAAAATATTCCAATTATAAAGAATGAAAAGTATGCAAACATTAAAGTATTTGGTAAGAAAACAAAAGCAGATCTTTACTATCAATGTGAAGTACTAGCTGACAATTACCAGTTTCTCCAATGAGAACACAACCTACTTATGACTGAACAAATATTTATTTTATCTGTGAATGACATAAGCAATTTGGCCAGGAAACAAAGAATGGACAGGAACCATATGTAATTCCAATTTGATCAATTCATATAAGTGAAATGAAATAATTTTACTCACTAATATACTCAAATTTTAAGTATCTTTACTCCCAAGATTTGGAAAAATGCAATTATTCAAAGAATTCAATTTGTTTGGTATTTATTTATATTTTTTAATATGTAAGGGTGAGGAACCTCTGATGTTACCATAGATAGGAAAAAAACAAAAGCATCTCATGGAAGAGATATATAGTTATAGCCAAATACAAAAACAAGAAATGAAGCCTCAATACAGCCAAATTATTGGATTTTTTTTACTACAGTTCTAGGGGTGGAGATAGGGAAGGCATTTAAAAGCCTCCTTTAAATTTACCATGAGGATGAATTTTGAAAGGACAAAAGTGATTTATGAATCTATGGACGTATCACTAGGGAAGAAAAACTAGCCAATAAATTCTAAAAGTTAAATCTAATTGGAAAAAATCTAACTTGGAAAAAAAATTCTGGTTTCAACTAATTTTTGTTTTTTTGGTCATTTTATATAATAGCTGATTCTTTTTTCCAAATGAGTATTTATTTGTACAGATACACAAAAGTAATTCCCATTTTTCTTAAAACATACTAAAAATATACATTAACCACAAAAAGTACTCACTCTGACTGGAAAGACAATGAGCATGGCTATTTTCAAAATAGCAGTAAACACAAGAAACCAACATATATAAATCATGACAAATGTACATCTCATTTTTGACAAAAATAAGTTCTATTTGTACATTAATATTTTATTATCAGCTTCTATATGATATCCTCCGACCTTATTTACATTTACTATGAGATTTCTAATAGCATGTGTAACTCAAAGGCACTCAATTCAGA